TGTCTGTCTGTCTGTCTGTCTGTGTGTCTGTGTGTCTGTCTGTCTGTCTGTCTGTCTGTCTCAGGGTCTCACCATCAAACCTCTGGTGAAATGGCTCAAAGTTCCTCGATCCACCAGCAGGAAGCCGACCATCAACGAGGAGATCCACGAGAGGGTTGGTTCACTTCCTCTTCTTCCTCTTCTTCCTCTTCAGTCTCCTCTGTTACTGCAGATCATCCTCAGATCACACTGGAGACATTTCATGTTGTAGAAACAACAGGATGTTTTCAGCAGCTCTCTGCAGATGTTTCACATGTTGTTTCTGCTCATACGCTGTTTGTTTGTTTGTTTGTTTGTTTGTTTGTCTACAGGCCTTTGACCACATCTTGACAGCAGTGGAGGACATTGCAGGACTGCAGGGGTACCACCACTGGAGAGACAAGTGAGTCCATCACACTCATATTATCCTGATGTCTTATATTATATCTGAATATAACAACATTTTAATATCAATCAATCAATCAAACTTTATTTATAGCGCCTTTCATACATCAAAAATGCAACCCCAAAGCGCTTTACAAACTAAAAACATACAAAAAAAAAATACTACAAATATTGAAAACCCACCCCCACATAACAGAACAGGGGCGGACAGGAGAGGGAGAACTGTGGGTCGCCACACGAGCAGCGCCCCATTTACTTAGATGAAAAAAGGAGAACAAGAGGGAGGAAGAGGGGAAAAAATAAAATAAAAAATAACATCATGTAAACATCAGACTGAAGTCACAGTAATGTCACAGTAATGTCACAGTAATGTCACAGTGATGTCACAGTGATGTCACAGTGACATGTTAACGCTGTAATAAATCCTACACAGATAGAGACAGATATTCAGACTGGACGATGTGTCATTATTGTAATGACTGACAGTGAACAGCAGGGGGAGCTCCTCCTTCACCTGGTGATGAGACAGAGTGACGACTCCTCACTGATGTCACACTGAGAACTTCTATCTTCTTACCTGAGCAGGAAACAATCACAGCTCCTGATTTCAAAATGGCTGCCTCCAAACATCTGTGTGTGTGTGTGTGTGTGTGTGTGTGTCCATCAGGTGGGAGCAGTTTGATAAGAACTACCTCAGTAAGCTGCTGCTGAGGAAGTCTGTGTACAGGAAGAGTGAACTGTGGGAAGCCTATCAGAAGATCAACATCAGGGACGCCATCAGTGTCATCGACCAGGTAGGACAGAGGAGGGAGGAGATAGGAAGGAGGAGATAGGAAGGAGGAGGGAGGAGATAGGAAGGAGGAGGGAGGACATAGCAGCTCAGTGGACTCTGTGTGTACCAACAGTTTGACTGTTATAACTGATGACAGACAGTTTGACTGTGAGCGGCTGACGTCAGTGTCACCTGACAAGAGGCGGAGCCTAAAACAACAACCTTTCATGACCTGAGATCAGCTGCACAGAAACACAGAGACACAATCTGACAGGTTGATACCAGAGTTGAAGGTCACAGTTAGCTCAGACTCACTGCTTCTCTTCAGATGAGCCCCTTCAACACTTCCTCTTTAAGGCAGGAACTTTATGCTGTTACTCTGAGGGGGCTGAGTCGACTCACCTTTAAGATGGCGGCAGAGGCAGTAACAGTGCCGAGAAAACAGCTGTGTAGAAGGAACAGCTGACAGGACGAGATCATGTTCAGCATGAGTGTGACACTGTGATGACGTGATGAGTGTGTGACCCACGACGGGAGATTTAAAAAACAGCTGTTAGCAGTTAGTGGCTAACTCAAAGAAGAACAGCAGCTGCTAGCAGTTAGCGGCTAACTCAAAGAAGAAGAACAGCAGCTGTTAGCAGTTAGCGGCTAACTCAAAGAAGAAGAACAGCAGCTGTTAGCAGTTAGCGGCTAACTCAAAGAAGAAGAACAGCAGCTGTTAGCAGTTAGTGGTTGTTGGTTCTGTTTGAAAATAAAAAGGCGGAGCTTGGTAGCAGCTCTGTAGCACCATCTCTGTGTAAAAAAGGATACAGACAGAAACATCCTGGAAAAGGTTTGGAGGATTCTGGGAAATGTGGTCTTCAAGGGGAGACATAGTAAGAATGAGAGGATGCGTTTAACCTTTAACCTTTGACATTTGACCTGTGTGTGTGTGTGTGTGTGTGTGTGTGTGTATGTGTGTGTGTAGGGGGGGAACGTCCTGACCTCAGCCAGACTGTCTCTGCCCTCGATGGCCAGCAGAGCCTCGTTCCCTGAAGTCACCAATGTCACCAACTACCTGTGAGTCACATGACTGTCTTCATCAGTCACATGACCTTATTTAACCACCTAAAAAAAAAAAACGGAGTTATAGTTCAACTGTTTGGCCATGACAAAAACCTGGCGCACTTCCTGTGGGCCTGACGTGGAGCCTGAACTGTCGTGGCTTTGTTTTATTAGCACCATGCTAACTGTGTGTTGTTGATGTGTTATTGACGGGTTGTTGACATGTTCCAGGCGTGAGAACGGCAGCGGTGTGTGTCTGGACCTTCAGGTGATCGATAACGTCCTTGGAGCCAAAGTAGAGGAGGACATGGAGACGCATCACGTTCTGGCAGGGAACCTGTACAAACCCAGGAGACGGGTAACACACACACACACACACACACACACACAGACACACACTGACATTTTAAAATGTAAAGACAATGATTTAAAGACATTTTAAAGGTCCTTGGAGACGTTCTTTGGGTCGTTGAGGACACTGAGTCCTTGAGCAGGTTCAGTTGACCACAGAGGAAGTTCAGGTCTTCACTGAGGTCAGAGGTCATACTGAAGAGGTTCAGGAAGCTTGAGACGTCCTTGAAAATGTCCCTGGTGTCTTTCAACAGGTTCTAGTGGGCTTGTAAAGAAGTTATTGGGGTCCTTGAGAACCAGTCAGACACACTCCCCCAATCCCAAATGGATCCCTTACAGACCTAGGACCAATTCCATTTCTTCCCCTTAGCCCTTATCTAGGCCCTTCCCCTTGGTTTTGCACGTTCACGTGAGGGGAAGTGGTGTCCCAATTCTCCGTCAGGTTAGCTCTTAACCTGACGGAGAATTGGGACACCACTTCCTGAACTGAATTGGTCCTAGGTCTGTAAGGGCTTAGGGCTTGAGTCAACGAGTCTGTAAGGGATCCATTTGGGAATGGGGGACTGTGTAACAGAACTGGGTCCTTACAGAGAGTCCTGGGAACCTCAAGGAGGTTTGTAAAGGTTGTAGGAGTCCTTGGAGAGCTTTAAGGGAACTTAGGTTTTTTCAAGGACTAGAGGGGTCCTTTGAGAGCATTTTGATTTTCCAGGGGCCTCTCAGAAGCCTACGGGGGTCAGAAACAGAAAAGGAGGAGGTGCTGTCAGCAGGAGGAGCACTGGCTGGAGAGGAGGCTCCTCTAGAGGAAACAAAACTTTGTTATTTTGAAGATTTCAGAGTTGAAGTTGTTTGTTGGAGGGGCGTCAGTAGGGTAGTGGATAGTGCCGGCGCCCCATATACAGAGGCATCGCCTCGCTGCAGCGGGCGCGGGTTTGAATCCGGCTCACGGCCCTTTGCTGCATGCCAGTCCCCACTCTCTCTCTCTGTCTCCCCATTTCACTCTCTGTCCTGTCATTAAAGGCAAAAGCCCACAAAAATAATCGTCTGTGCTGATCTCTGTGTTGTGTCATGTGTGGTGTCCCTCCAGTATCAGTCCCACTACAGCCGTCACTTCATGCCTCTGGGGGAGAAGGAGCGTCAGGACCGGGAGGTGTTTCAGAGGAACATGAAGAGCCGCATGGAGACGTTCAAATCCACCCGACACAAACGACACAAGAAGGAGAGGAGCCTGAAGAAGGTCAGAGACACTCACCACATGTTCATGATGGCGTCACAGCGTCGTCACAGAGCTGACGGCAGGTTGATCAGTGTGGCGAGTTTTAAATGTGAAGCAGGTCAAACTGTGACATCATCACTGATGAGTCTGATTGAGACAGAACACGAAACAAAAAAAGTCTGAAGAAACAAACTCAGATTATTAGAAGTTAATCATGAGCTGCTTCATGAGACAGAACCAGAGCTGATCTGATGGAAGACGTAAACATGACTCAGTGAGGGGGTCACAGGGGTCAGAGGTCAAAGCAGAGTGATTTCAGTCAGTAAGGTGTCCTCACACACACGCGCACACACACACACACACACAGGTCTGCTCTGACTCTACAGAGCGTCTTTAATTAGACGTGGATCATTTTCTTTGCTCTGTGATGAGAGACACAACGCGGCGCTGATTGAAGGTGCTGCTTCCTGTTATGGCTGCAGCTTCACTGATGTGTTTATTCTGCTTCCAACAGCGCCGAGGATCCGACGCCAAGGAGGACGGCAGCGACAAACCCAGACGCAACGTCAGCTGGCAGGACAAGAGTAAGTACAGACGCACAGACATCAGACAGCTGTGAGCTCGTCTCTCTGCTCACACTCAGACTCACAGGACTAAACTCAGAATCCTGTTCATCAGTTTCACTCACAGACGAGACGCTTTAAAGATATTCATCACGGGGTGTCGGTAGCGTGGTGGATAGTGCTGGCGCCCCATGTACAGAGGCATTGCCTCGCTGCAGCGGTTGCAGGTTCGATTCTGGCTTGTGACCATTTCTGCATGTCAGTCCCCACTCTCTCTCTCTCTCATCCCCGTTCACTCTGTCCTGTACAATAAAGGCAAAAAAAAGATATTCATCACTTTTATGACACATTAAAACAGTTTGTTAAAATCACAGAGATGAAGACAAACCTCCTGAGACGAGGAAGAGGAGTCTGTAGAGGAGACGCCTCCCTCTGTCCTCACACCTTCACTCACACACATTCAGACCTATCTGATTTATCATTAATGGAGCATGTTCAGTGGTTCAACAGTGAAGTTTTGGTCTATAAGAAATACAGAGAGGCAGAGCATGGAGAAGATTTGAACCTTAAAACCTAATAAATGAAATCTATGTATGAATAAATAAACAGAATAACTCAGTGAGGTGAAAACAGTTCACTGCTCTGTTCCTGTTTCTGTCCACATGTTCACTTCTCACCTGACAGACAGGAAATCACCACACAGGACTGACTCCAGACACGCCGTCACACGCCGTTTAAGCTGACGACAGATTGTGCCGGAATCTGAGCTCTTTTTAATAGTTTTGAAGTGAGCATTCTCTGGTCTTTGTTATTTTCTAAGTGTCTTATAGTGTGTCCTGTTCTGACACTAAATGTGACGCTTTATCTGTGCCGCGATATAAAGTTATCTGACCCTACACGCGGAGCGGACCTCTTGCAGAGGGACAGATTGATTGTTTACCTTGACAACCGGTAACAATTCCCACAAAATATGCCTCCTCTTACCTCTCCGCCGGACTGTGCTGGATGCCTTCAGTTATCCCAGAAAATAACTGAACTGGAGGGTCGGATCTCAACCCTTTTCCAGATCCAGGACTCTGAACGCCTACTGGACTCGTTGGCCGCGGAGGCTTCCCGCCTAGCCGACAACATCACCACTCTGCCCTGGCCTGGACCCGCTCACCTTTCCGACATGGTGCAGCCCTTCGTGGGGTCCATCCAGGAGAATGACCAGGACTGGCCTTGGCTCGGTGCGAAGCCGAAAGTTCGGAACTGCTCCACACCAGTCTCCGCGGAGCCCTGGACTGTCATTTGGGGTAATAAGCCTGGCCGTAACAATTCCCGGACCCCTCCATCTGGCTCTACTCCTCCCTCAGAGATCATTCAGCTGGGAAACAGGTTTGAGGCGCTGGGAAAGTTGAACAAGAACCCACCCAACGTCCTTGAGCCTCCTGCCAGCCCAGTCCGTGCACCACTGAGGCGCCTCCCGTCGGGTCTAGCCGGAGCCTCTGCCCGCCGTTCAGGAGCAGCTGGACACCGCGCACCGCTACGGCCCAGCTCATCCAGGGGAAGGAGCCCCGCGCCGCCAGGTGAGCCACAGCGTCTGCAGCCGACAACTCTGGTGATAGGGGACTCCATCATCCGGAACGTCCGATCCCGCTCAGCATTAACGTGCTGTTTTCCCGGAGCCACAGTCCGTGACATCACCACCAAAGCCGCGGAGCTCATCACAAGCAGTCCAGTAATCACAACAGTAATAATCCACGCAGGTACAAATGACATCCATAAACAGCAGTCTGAGCTCCTCAAAATCGATTTTGTCCACCTCATCACTACACTCCAGAGAGCAGTAAATCACGTCCACATATCCGGCCCCATCCCCTCCTGTGGCCGCGGCTGTGGGCGCTTCAGCCGGCTGCTGGCGCTGCATACCTGGCTGTTGTCAGCCTGCACTGCTCATGGTGTCAACTATATTGACAATTTTAACCTGTTCTGGAGCAGGAGAGAACTCTTCAGGGGCGATGGAGTCCATCCAAATTGGCTAGGGGCAAAAATGCTCACAGGAAACATTTTCCACAGCGTCCACCACCCACGTGTATCTCACCACAGTAAACAATCAACATCACCACCGTCAACCCCCTCCAATCAGTCCATCTACTATTGATGTCCCCCGGGTCCTAGCACCACCATTATTGGTTCCCCATACTCACCAGTAACTGATTATGAGGAGCCAGGACCCGTCCCACACTGTTGATCCCAACACCAGGAAAACACTTTAAATACCATACCAAACAACCTTTCTGTAGACTCTGCCCCTCAGCCACCCACATCACCCACAGCACCCACAGCACCCTCAGCACCCTCAGCACCCTCAGCACCATCCTCCTCCACCCATGGACTCCCTATCACCGTAATCACCAACACCAGATCTCACACCATAAAACCATACTCCGGACCCAATCATTACAACCTCAAACATATAAAAATACACCATCCCCCCGCTCATCCCCCACAAACACCAGAGAGAAAACTCAACATGGCACTTTTAAATGTACACTCTCTCTTAAATAAGACTTTTTTAATTAATGACCTGATTTTAGATAACAGTATTGATTTTATGTTTTTAACTGAGACATGGCTTGGCTCAGATGGACCTGCAGCACTTAATGAAGCATCCCCGTCTGGTTTTAATTATTTACATTCTTTTAGAAATGGTAGACGGGGTGGGGGGACTGCAACAATTCTTTTAAGTTCACATGGTTTTAAAGAGGTTTTATTTGGTGATTTTATTTCTTTTGAGTATCATTCCTTTGTTTTTAGCAGTCCCCCTATATTTTGTATAACTGTTTACAGACCACCCAAAAAATGCTCTGCTTTTATCAGTGAATTTTCAGAATTGTTATCAATCATTCATTCGAGTACAACAAAATCATTATTGTAGGGGATTTTAATATTCATGTCGACAATCCATCTGATTCTTTAAGCTCTGAATTTTTAAATCTTATTAATTTTATGAATTTTAACCAGCATGTATCAAGCTCCACCCACAACAGAGGACATATATTAGATCTTTTAATAACCTTTGGGTTATCAGCCACTGTGTCCTCTGTTGTGGATGTGGGCTTGTCCGACCATCACTGTGTGTTTTTTAATGTAATGGATTTTATCCAGCAGGACATCCCAGAGCGTACTGTCAGGAAGCGCTATCTTACTTCTGAAGTGGCTGCTAATTTTAGTGAGATTTTAACTGATGCTCCAAAGGCTGTTTTACCCTCCTCTTGTGATTTCATTGTTGATCATTTTAACCAGAAACTTAAGTCAGCAATAGATTTTGTTGCCCCATTAAAGGTGAAAAAGACCAAACCAAACATAAAACCACCATGGAGAACAAACAAGGTTCTCAGATTAAAGAGAGAATGCAGAATTGCAGAGAGAAGATGGAGGAAAAAACAATTACAAGTACATTATCAGATATTTCGGAAACAAATTACCACTTACAACAGAGCAGTAAAACAAGCAAGACAGGAGCACTTTTCAAAATTAATAGCTGACAATTACAATAACCCCAAAATCCTTTTCTCAACCATTGACCAATTAACAAACCCTGTTTTTAAGCAACCTTTTAATTCAGATTTATCATGTGAAGACCTTGCTGTCCACTTCAGAAATAAAATTGACTTTATCAGGTCAAACTTTTTAAACCGTAAGCCTGATAATTTTAGCTCCTCTGAGCCTGTGCTTTTAAATGGGGAGACACTTGAGAGGTTTGTCCTGGTTGATGCTGCAGAGCTTGAAGAGGTTGTCTCCCATCTTAGACCAGTGACTTGTATTTTAGACCCTATCCCCACATCCCTTTTTAAGACCTCTTTTAGTGTTTTTAAGGATGATGTTATTAATATTGTTAATTATTCTCTTCAGACAGGGGTCTTTCCCACTGCCTTTAAGACAGCCTGTGTCGGACCCCTTCTGAAGAGAAACAATTTGGATACAGCGGTACCTGATAATTACAGACCTGTTTCCAACCTGCCATTTTTAAGCAAAATTTTAGAAAAGATTGTTTTTAACCAGTTAAATGATTTTATGATTTCTAAAAATATTGGTGACGTATTTCAGTCAGGTTTTAGAAAAAATCACAGTACAGAGACAGCACTGGTCAAAATTGTTAGTGACCTCAGGTCCAACATGGATAAAAGATTAATCTCTGTTTTAGTCCTGTTGGACCTGAGTGCAGCTTTTGACACAGTGGATCACACAATTCTTTTAAACAGACTCCAAAACTACATTGGCATCTCTGGTACTGTTTTTAACTGGTTTAAAACATATCTGAATGGTAGGAAATTTTATGTTAGCACTGGGGAACGCTCATCAAGAACCTATGAAATGGAATGTGGCGTTCCCCAGGGCTCAATTTTAGGTCCTACACTTTTTAATCTCTATATGTTACCGTTAGGAGATGTCATCAGGAGACACAGCATTAACTTTCACAGCTATGCTGATGACACACAGCTTTACATGGCCGTGTCTCCTGATGACACAGGGCCAATTGATGCCCTTTTTAACTGCATTTTAGACGTCCAGTCCTGGATGGCAGACAACTTCTTGCAGCTCAACCAAGACAAAACCCAGGTCTTAGTCATCGGTACAGGTCCAGAGAGAGAGAAACTGGAGAACAAACTCCAGGCACTGTCTTTTAATCCCTGCAAACAAGTTAAAAATCTGGGTGTTACATTTGATTTTAATCTCAGTTTTGGATCACACATACGAGATGTTACCAAAACGGCTTTTTATCATCTTAAGAACATCTCCAGAGTGCGCCAGTTTCTCTCTCAAGCTAATGCAGAGACTCTTATCCATGCTTTTATTACCTGCAGAATTGATTATTGTAATGCCCTCCTCTCTGGTCTTCCTAAAAAGAATATCTCACAGCTTCAGCTGCTGCAAAATTCTGCTGCACGCATGCTGACGAAGACCAGAAGGAGAGCTCACATTACACCAATTTTAAAATCTCTGCATTGGCTACCTGTATCTTTTAGAATAGATTTTAAGGTTCTTTTATTAGTTTATAAATCTCTTAATGGTCTTGGTCCTTCTTATTTATCTGATTTGCTTTTACCATATGAGCCCAGTAGAGCCCTCAGGTCCTCAGGTAGTGGTCTTTTAATAGTTCCCAAAGTTAGAACCAAAACGTACGGTGAGGCATCATTTCATTACTATGGCCCCCATCTGTGGAACAGTCTACCTGAGGACCTGAGAGCAGGTCTGGGGGGTCTGTGTTAAATGTGGGCTGGGAGGGTGGGTGGGGTTTTGTATTTTATTTTGTACCCCCTGATCCTTTCCTGCTTGTGTTCTGTAATGTACAGCACTTTGTGATACATTTTATGTATGAAAAGTGCTCTATAAGTAAAGTGATTGATTGATTGATTGATTTAAATGGAAACATATATTGAGATAAAGACAGACCTTTGAACTCTAATGTTTCACTCTACAGAAACAAAAGTACCTGAAAATATAAAATATGATTTAATAAAGTCACATGATGGTGTTTATGATGTCGGCTCAGACACTTCCTCATCATCCTGACGGAGATTCCTCACATGTAGACGCAGATCACGTCTCCTCTGGATCAGCTGCTAACGTTATCAGCGCGTGTAGTGATGTCACATGATGTCACGTGAGGTAACGTGTGTGTGTACTGATGTGTGTGTGTTCAGACCCAGTGGTGGTCCCTGTGGAGTCAGAGGAGGAGAAAGGTGAACATTCAGACCCTGAGAAGGACGAAGACGTCGGCATCACCTTCATCGCTCGCAAGGTAGAGACGCCAAAACAACGACCCACATCAGGTGAGAACACACACACACACACACACACACACACACACACACACACACACATACATTGATTAAATTGACAGGCCAGTGGCTGCTCCTCACAGCTCTGCTCCAGTCACCAGTAACCTCCTCCTGTTGGAATCAACGGCCTCTAAATAAAACCTTTCTTTCTCAGTGTTGCAGCAACACATCTGTGTGTGTGTGTGTGTGTGTGTGTGTGTGTGTGTGTGGATTACAGCTCAGTGGATCAATACCAAAGTATAGATACTTTAAATACTACGCGTTCATGTTGAAGATGGATCCAAGTGTCAGTAGGATCAGTAACAAAAGGAGAATTGATTCTCACTTCTACGTCGTTAATATTTGTATTTTCAGAATAAAGCTGTGTTGTCTGTTGTCGTGAACAAATCTAGTGTCTGAGCTCTGCTTCTCCACTGCTGTGTGTCGTCTGCACTCAAACACTTTGGTCCAGAACCAGCAGCATCTACTTAGATCCAGTTTCTCCTGATGTTGGCAGCAGGAGGACGGTGAGTGTCCTCCTGCTGCCTGCTGGGGGCTGATGCAGACCCTCACTGGGCTATAAATAGAGATGCGTCTGTGCGTCTGTAACTGTCCACGGACGATCAGTGAGGACACGTCTGAGCCTGAAGAGTTTTATCTGACACATAACATCAGTGATGGATTAATGAAAGAGGAAGAACCATGAGAAAGGCCCCTCGCCATCCAGAACTGTGGCTCAGACTCAGACAGGAACACTCAGGTACACAGGGGCTCAGTGAAGCTAATATTTTAGTCCAATCAGATCTTCAGCATTTTCAAACTGTAGTTATTATCATACCCTGACTACAACAGCAACTGGATCACTGGGATCACTGTCAGAGCGATCTGATGAACCATAGTGACACTGACAGCCAATCAGAATCCTGCCGACACAGCTGGAGCACACACCACGTGCTGGCGCCATTGTTTACAAAACTTTACCGTTCATCAGTGTGACGCTCACGGCGTGTTCACACCAGGCACACAGAAAACAATCTGCACGTGTGAATTACAGGTGAAGTCAATGTGAGGACGCAATTAGACGTGAATTCCTGCCGGGAGGCGTGATCGGCACGGATGACACGAAAAGTGCAACTTTGCATTCACAGAAAAATCTGAACGTCAGCAACCAATTTGCACCATGATAGCCAATCAGCATTGAGATCCTCCGGGGATGTATGACGCAGAGGAAGTACTGGTTCATTTATCGGAAAAATGGAGGAGAAGCTGACGGTGTTGGCCTGCGGCTACCCCGAGCTGTACGACATCACGTCCTACTATGACAGAAACAGGAATAAAAAAGAGCTTGTTCAGAGGAAGTCTGATCATCTGGGAAGATGTGACAACATTCTTAGTTTAGCATGTTAGCACGCTGAGGAAGCTCCTCCTCTCTCCAGACAGTTTGCATCTTTTGGGCACTACTGCACACGTGATTTCACACATGTATGATGTCAGTCATCACAAAATATTCTAGCGTTCAAACTCACCTGGTAACGTGACGTGAAAATAAGCATCATGATTTGTGTGAACACAACATCACCTTGTCATGGTCGTTCCTGGTGACGGCGACCTTCAATCATTTTATTCAGCACAAAGTTTAGTCAACTCAGATCATCTAAGTGGACCATCAGTCATGTGATCATAGCTGATCATGTGACATCTTCTGCTGATGAAGACCAGGAGTTGTGGTTGAAAGTTGCCCTTGAGTGAAAGCCACTGTGTGTGTGTGTGTGTGTGTGTGTGTGTTCTAACTGTCCTGTGTCCTCTGTCAGTTCCTGCAGCTCTGGAGGCAGTTCAGAGTCCATCAGCCGGCCCCTCCTCCCCCCCCAGTGCAGACAGCCACCTGCCGTGGAAGGGCGGCGTGGGTTCTCCTCCCCCCTGCGTCTCCGTGGAGGCCACAAAGATCATCCCTGTGGACCTGCAGCAGGCCTGGAACCAGAGCATCTCCTCCCTGGAGAGCATCTCCTCGCCGCCCGCACACACGGAGCCCATACACCCCCGTGTCAGCGCCCTCTCCAGGCTGGGAGGCCCCCGCCCGGCCTCCTACACCCCACCAGGCAGCGCGGCGGGCAGCATGGCAGGCAGCACCTCCTCCATCGGAGCTCAGGTGTCGCAGGGCTCCTTCAGCTTCCCAGAGAAGAAGAAGAAGGAGGAGGAAGAAGAGGAGGAGGAGGAGGGAGCGCTGCAGGAGATGCAGCCGCTCATGTCGTCTCTGAGGCCCCCCGGCTCCCTGCCCCCACCCCCGCCGCCGCCAGGCTCCGCCCTCGGCTCAGGGAGGAGGAGGAACCCCTGCGTCTACCTGAGGAGCCTGGTGACGGCGCCGCCGCCTGGCAGCGGCGAGCCGCACAGCCGAGGCCCCACCCAGCTGTAACAGATCCCACATCAGTCAAATGTCTGACGCCTGCAGAGCGGACTGCAGGACGCCATCACTGCAACACACACACACACACTCACATATACACATATATATACACACACACACACACACACACACATCAGGCGGCCCGTCACATCGTCCAATCAGAAAGCAGCTCCCTGCGTCTCCTCTCAGCTTCACAGTGTCACTCTGATGGTGGGTCATGAGACCCTCCTGCAGTCCGAGTCAGCTTAAAGGTTTACTCTGCACCACCCGTCCGTCAGTCTGTCCGTCAGTCTGTCTGTCAGTCTGTCCGTCAGTCTGTAAACACCATCATCAGTGAACGTCAGCCTCTTGATCTGGAGCTTTGTCCACTCGTGTTTCTCCCCGATACATTTGTGTTTATCCAGCACTCTCTGTAATTTTCAGAGCTTTCTCTGCTTCCTGCTGTGTACGCTCTGACACCTGCTCATTAACTTGTTATAAAGTCCTGATGTCACCTGAGCGCTGTGACCACAAACGTCCCAAACAACAGCAACATAAGACCACCGCACACTGAGAGCAGTGATAGGGCCCAAACCATACTTTAAAAACGGTACTGGTGCCTTAAGTGATACTTAAACCTCCTGGTTGTATGACTCCGCCCACCAGTCCACCCTGTGGTTGTATGACTCCGCCCACCAGTCCAGTGTCTCTGACAGTCTCCATCCATGTCAGTGAAAACATGGATGCTTCACACACAGAAGATCTATACAATCAGCACAGTTTCAAGATTAGAGTCACCAATTCAGTATCTGACCAAATGTCTCCCCTTCTGTTCCTGAGATATGACGTTAACACATGATGATGTCACAGTCAAGCTGACCTTTGACCTTTTGACCTTCATTATTTTATCCTGTTAGACATTTGTGTCAAGTTTGGTCAGAATTAGTGAATGAATTCTTCAGTTATGGACAAAAACATGTTTACGTTTGAGTTTATTTGAGTCCCTCGAGGCCCTCTTGAGATTGAGATGGATGTAAGGTCACAGTGAACTCTGACCTTTGACTGCCAAAATCTAATGAGTTTATTCTTGAATCAAAGTAGACGTTTGTGCCATATTTGAAGAAATTCCCTTGAGGTCCTGAGATATTGTGTTCACAAGGATGGGATGGATGCACAGACAACCTGAAAACAAAATGGCTCCGGCTGTGTCTGTCGACGGTACAGTACATTTAAAAAAAAAAAGCACAAACAACAGTGACAACAAAAAGTTGAACTTGAAATTGAACAATATATAAAAGCTCATCAGTTTAAAGTTACTTCATTGTATAAATATATATAAGAACAAAACAAATGCACATATTTAAACCTGACTACAATAATTAAACATCAGATAACAGTAACAGTGCCATTAACCAGAGGTGGGGGACTTGAGTCACATGACTTGACTCAAGTCAGACTTTGAGCTGCAAATTTGATGACTTGAGACTTGACTAACAGGATCAAAGACTCGACTTGACTTTGACTTGGTATTCATGACTTGTCACAAATGACCTGACAAGTACTGACTTTGTTATGATCAGTAATTTTTATTGTTTTCTTTTGAGCAGAAAAAAAGAGAGATCAGCCTTCATCATATAAAAACTACAAAAATGTGATTTAAGGACTGAAGAGGTTCCACAGCTGTGTGGTCAGATAGAAGACAGAGCTGACACAAACTGACTGAAACAAAATCAACAAAACTAAGAAATAAAAATAAATAATTAAAAAAGTAAATACATCAAACAATCACTGGCAGACGTGTAAATAACTGAGTGTCACATGACACAAGTCTAAATGATGTTTAAGGGTCTGAGTCTATATGTCATATAGATACGTCAGGGACTTTTAAAGAAGGAGATGTGATATGTCTTCACCTGACTGATGAGCCTGAAGAAGACAAGTCTGGAATTTTAATTAAATATTTGCATTTTTCTAGATCTTAAGAAGTTACATTTTGTCTTTAATCATCAGGTGATTTCTAATGTGTGTACAAACCTGACGACCTGTTAGGACGCAGCCGACCAGCAGAGGTCAACACACAAGGCAGCTATCAAAGGGGGCGGGGCCAAATATAATAAACTTAGGATTTGAGGATTGAGATGTCGACGACGATAGTAAGAGACCAGCTGTATGCTAACGTCACTGATACGACCACCACAACATCGACTGCTGCAGCAAGCCAACACGCTATATAATATAATATAATATATAATATAATATTCTACCCATTAATATGTTTATATAAGTGTATAATTGCTATAAAATAAAATTTGTTTGGTTTTCGTAACCTTATTATTATGCTT